TTTGTAACATCAATTAGCCTGTGCAGAGTTTGAAAGACGTATATTAAATTTGGTGGCCTCTATCGTAATTGCAAATGGTGAACGGAGAGGCTCACGGACATAATTTAATCGACAAAGATTTCTACTCTTTCACATACTTCTTCTTTTAGAAATCGATGAATCTTTATTTATGATAGTTAAATTAAAGCCATATTGCCAGGATTACAATTTAGAAATTACTATCGATTCTGATGTCCAAAACTCCGAAAAATTGACTAGATATGGAATTCATCCATCCAATGAGAACTCAAAGTGTAAATGCATTGGACATTATCTACCGGAATTATTTAAAATTTTGTTTCACCGGAATTGTTTCAAATTTGATATTTGATATTCGTTAAGGGTGTTTCAGCCTATGACAGTTGTTTGTCTGCACAGGTCCACGTCTTCGTATAGCCCCCATATAACGGTACCTCCCGGAGTTGTTTCAAATTTGGAATTTGAAGTTCGTAATGGATACTTCAGTCTAAAACAGCAAATTGTCTGTGCAGGTCCACGTCTTCGTATAGCCCCATATAACGGTACCTCCCAATTTTTTGTATTTTGATGACTTTATCTACATTATTACCGATTTTTTTAGGTTTCTCATTTGAATATTTTTTGTACAAACTTTCGTCATACCCCGATTTAGGCTTTTAAAGAGAAAAATATTGACCACGCCTACTTTACCGCTCACTATTTTGATTTATCTAAAATCCTTATATTAGCCAGACAATGAAGATATCGATTTGAAAATTATTACACGAGATACTGTTGACGTTCCCTCCAACCCTAGGGATTTATTTGGGTGTTGAGGAGCTGACCACGCATACTTCTAATCTATATATATAATAACCAATTGCTGTTCGTTGGTAATTGAATCAGTTGAGAACGGCTGGAACGATTGGTGCATTTTTTTAATATTCGTCCTACCACGAGTTACGTTTTTATGCAAAGAAAAATTGACCACGCCCAACTTTACGTCCATTTTTCGATTTACCTAAAATCCTATTTGCCCAAATAATGAAGATATCTGCTCCATAGTTAGTATACAACATAATATTGACTCTCCCTCCAAGCCTAGGTATCTGTGTGGGTCTGAGGAGCTGCCCACACCACTTTTTTAGATCTATATGTAAATTTTTTTAAAAAAGCATAGTAAAACTTCAGTTGAGGATGACTTATTATTTATTTGTAATTACACTGAAAACGTTTTCAAGAAAGAAAAATTTGGAAAAAGTCTCTAGAAAAATTGCAGAACTGTATTACCTGTATGGAATAGAAAATTCTTATTAAAAACCCGAGAATTTTTGCATATTTTGTGTACATGCCGTTATACTCCTCGAAGCATCAAAACATTTAAAGCTCAACGTGATTTTAAACAGTTATTGCCGTTATTGATTTCACAATACTCAAAACATTAAATGTCAACTTACAATTCATTCCGTAGAAATTGTAACAAAAACATGCCATAATTTAATCGACAAAGATTTCTACTTTTTAATATAATTTATGGGGTCCCTAATTTTTATAAACCGATGACACCTTTTGTATGATAGTTAAATTAAATATATTAAATATGACTTTCCAGGATTTCTATTTAGAAATTACAATCGATCGTGCGGTCGGAACTACCGAATTACCGATTCCCGGGTCAAACTTTTTTAATTCCATAAATGTTGGTTATTTGAGATTTTAGAATGAACAAAACATTCTTTCAAATAATTATAAGTGTAGGACCAAGCTTTGGTATAACCCTTATATGAAGGCATCCACTAATTTCAACTATTTTCAGGGTCTTGGTCACATTTTAGGTCATCTCAATGTTTTGTCAATGTTTTGGAGTAGCGCTCATATAAAGGTTCCTCCTGGTTTTACCTATTTCGAGGGTTTTGGTTATATTTTCGAATCGATTTGGCTTAAAATGTGTGTTTAGGCTACTTTGGTAGAGAACCATCCTACATGGAACTATTACAACAGTTGATGTATACTGTTTAATAAATGTGCTATATTATTTGGGTTTCCAACTCTCAAATTAAAACCTCTGGCTGGAAAATAGGATCAGGTTTTTTGAAACACTATGAATTGCCCGGTACGTGAACCTATATTGACATTTTTGAAATGCATATTTATTGCTCTTTAGTCATTTATACTAAAAATTGTGCCACTTATGTGAGCCAGATGTGTGAATTATTATCTTTAAAAACTATGCGTTAAAGACTAAATTTCAGACCGACAACGCGGTTTGGACCAGCTAGTCTATATATATAAATATCAATTGTAGTTCGTTGGTAAGAATCAGTTGAAAACAGCGGGAACGATTTGGATAATTTTAATTGTTCGTTCGTTTATGCAAAGAAAAACTGACCGCGCCCAATTTTACGCCCATTTTTTCGATTTACTTAAAATCCTAATATTTGCCAAAATTATGAAGATATCTGTTCCACAGTTAGTATACGACGTAATCTTGACTCTCCCTCCAACTCGAAGTATCTTTTTGGGGTCAGAGGAACTGGCCACACCTACTTCTTTAAATCTATATGTAAGAAATTTAGATAAGTATAGTAACACATCAGTTGAGAACGGCTGGGCCGGCTTTTGGTTATTTGTATTTACAGTGGAAACGTTTTCATGAAATAATATTTTGAGAAAAATCTCTGGAAAAATCGCAGAACTAAAAAATTGACTGTTCTATTTTAATATTTAATTTTGTGTAGAATTGTTTTAGAATGCCTTTTAGAATAGAAAATTCTTTAAAAAAAAAAACAAGTAAGCAAAGGCGGCGCCGACCATGTGATACCCTACAACACTACAATTGGTTCGAAGTCTCCTTATGTCCAAATCCATTTTGGAAGATTTTGTTTTTGAAATAATCCCCCTGTCCTTAACGCTCTTCTGATGCGAAATTCCTTGTCGATTAGTTTTCAATTGTGGTCTATAGAGCGACTACAAATTTAGAAAAATTTAAATTTTTTTGTCCATTTGAATCCCTAAATGTACACATTAAGTACAATAGGCTTTAATTCTGACCCTAACCCTACCGCCATGCAAAATTTCGTGAGGATCGAACGATTATTGCGACATGCATATAATATCCTCAAAGGTAGTGTTGCGGAGTGTAAAAATTTAAAAAATTCACAACTCAAAATTGGAAGTCAAATTGAAAAAATCGCATGCGATAAAAATATGACAAAAATTAAAAAAAAATTCTTGGCTATCAGCATCACTTTAATGGTCAGAAGGGACCTTTAAATGTATTTGTGATATGGCTGGGATTAAAAATATTCGCAGGTTAATGGAAACTATCCTATTTTCTTACATAAAAGTTAGGGTCTATTTTACACGCTTAATATTGTCCGATTGCCGCCCAAATTGGTAGGCTTCTGCCCAGTCCTAAACTCTAACTCCATGCAAATTTCCGCGTCGTTTGGTTCATAATTGTGGCCCACGGAGCAACTGCAAAATCAGGAAAATTTTCTTTCAATAGGGTTCTATTCCGACCCTAACCCCATCTCCATTTTCAATTTCGTGAGGATCGGGCCATAATTGCAACCTGTAGAGTGATTACAAATTAACATGAACAGACGGACGGACAGCTAGATCGACTCAGCTCGACGAGATAGGAAGATCCATATATACTTCCCTATGTGGGAAACCAATATTTCGAGGTGTTACATAATTTTTGGCCCAATCAAACTTATAATACCCCCAACACATAGTGTTGTAGTTTATAAAAACTGAAAATGGAGAAATTGGCATATTTTCTATACACAATATAATTATATGGTTGACATACCAAATTTTTTTATTTTGATTAAAAAATACTTCTCAAAACACCAAAACACATAAGATCTGAACATACTTTCAAATTGAGGCTATGTCTATTGGGGAACCAATAGTAAACAGTTGATACCGCAACTTTAAATGTCAAATTACAGTAAATTCGGTAGAAATTGTAACAAAAACATGCAAAAGGACGAATTTTTAGTGGTATTATTATACCTAAACGAAAGGGATATATTCTAACTTTATAATACTGATATAACGAATATAAAGAGGTATTGGGGAATAGAAAATAAATCATAAAGTGGGCTTTTGTTGTAATTTTTAGGAGATGTATGAAACTTTAATTATGATAGTTAAATTAAAGTCATATTGCCAAGGTTTCAATGTAGAAATTACTATAGAATCTGAAGTCCAAAACTCCAAAAGATTGACTAGATATGGAAATAATCAATCCAATGAGAAAACAAAAAGCAAAATTCATTGGGACCACATTCAGTGCAATGCCGAATATGAAGAGGCACTGTAATATGCAGACTATACACTATAGTGAAGCGAATTGAAAATTTAGTAAGAAAATAATTCATATTCTCTTCCCTTAAAAGTAACCTTAAATATTTTGCTTTATACTCCGCAAAAGTTACGATAGAACTTTAAATTTGATACAGTCCTAGGGGGTACATAAAGAATCATTTGTACAACTTATGTATCAGGTCGGTCTACATTGTGATATAGCTCCTCTCAAATGATGTATCCCCTTTGAAATTCCCCAAATGTTGGTAATTTGAGATTTTATAATGTATGGGACCATGCTTTGGTATGACCCTTATATGAAGGTATCCGTTGATTTCAGCTGTTTCCAGGTCTTGGTCACATTTTTCAATTGATTTTGTCCTTATTCGCCATGTTAGCTTCTATGGGGGTAGAATACAACTTCGCTTAAATTATTCAATGTCAATGTTTCAAAGTAGCGTTCATATAAAAGTTAATTATTATGCTTTCAAAATATACATTAAAGAGTAAAACCTTGGGCCGGCAACGCTAACTGGAACTACTAGTTATTATAATTATTAGAGAAAGTGCATATGGAACTTCATACATTTAATGTTACTGGTTAGTTATTAATTGATTTAGTTTTAAATGATAAAAATTACCCAAATTTAACGTACCCCACTCTCATTTACATATTTTAAACGCAGAACAGAATCTTGTCGACTGGTCGATGAGAGGTCAAATTGCCCTGTCGTTTGGTCAAGACATAATCATTTGGCAGAGTAAGGATGATATCACTATGGCATTCAATATCCAGAGTCCGAGATCACTGTCATATAGCCCTTCGGGAGAATTGCTTGCTATTGGCTGTAAATGTATTAACTTTCCAGGTAAATGTTAATGGTATTTTATAATTATTTTCAACATCTTTAAAATTAAATGATAAGCTGAAGTCTTGGAATTTGAATTCAATATTTTAAAAAATTTGTTAAACTTTTTTCGCTACATAGAATTTTTATAATTTTGTTTGTAAAACCTCTACTTGTATGTAAAACCAACAGCTTTGGAACTGTGGGATGTGGCCCGAACGGATGATTTCTCCATACTTAGTGGCAAAGTATTTCACATTAAGTACGGTGACGTACTTTGCATTGAATGGGATATATCCGGTACTCAGTTAGTCTGCGGCACTAGGTTTGGTACAATATACGTTTTAACTGTCCCCGAACTCAAAACTATAAGGAAATTACAAAAACACCAGCTTCCCATAACCATGATACGGTTTTCGCCAACCATGCGTTATTTAGCCACAGGTGATGCTGAGGGTAACATAGTGATTTATAATTGGAACATGTGTACCGAATATCTCTCCCTAAAATCGAGACGAAAGTTAAATGCTGTGTTCGATTGGCACCCATGGACGGGCGTTGACTTGGCGATTTGTAAGTAAACCAAAATTGTTAGGCGGTAATAAAAATAAATATTTTCAGCTGAAGATGTTCCTGCTTCGATTGTACTATTACATGTTCCAAGCAAGAAGATAGTGGCATATTACCAACAAAGTGGAAAGCAATTCGCCATTAATTCGATATCCTTTAGCAAAATCACTGGAGAGTTATTGGTCAGCACTTCTAGTCAAGGTAATTGTATGAGACGAACAATTCTCATAACAGTTTTTTTTTGCGTTTAATAATTAGTAGCTGGAAGACCAAACCAATTGGCATTTAGTATTTTTCTTGTTCTTCTTCTATATCTATAAAAGAGGAAAATGTTTGTATGTTTATAATTTATAGACTCGAAAACCTCTGAAAAGATTTTCCTGAAAATTTCCAAGTATACTACAACATAGCCTAAAAGTAACATAGGCTATAAAATTTTTTGAAATTCCACTTGGAACTGGAGATATAGCATCAGAATCGGAGGTACCTCCCAAAAATTTAGATTTTATATGCACATAACTACTGATCGAATACAGATAAAGCGTCCAAATTTGGAATGCGTAACGAAATTTGAAACAAAAATAAATTTTGCCAAATTATATTGAAATCGGTTCAGATTTGGATATAGCTCCCATATATATTTTCAGCCAATTTCATGTATTTGATGCATTAAACACGCTCTGTATGCCACAGCTCAATAAAATTTGGAAAGCGTGTTGGAATTTGTCTAGAAAACCAGTTTGGCAAATTATATTCAAATCGGTTCAGATTTGGATATAGCTCCCATATGCCGATGCCAATCAAATTCGGCATGAGTGACTAAATTTGGTACAAAAATAAATGTGTCAAATTATATTGAAATCGGCTCAGATTTGGATATAGCTCCCATACATATTTTCGGCTGATTTCACATATTTGATGCACCCAACGCAATATGTATGTCCAATTCCAAACAAATTCAGACAGAGAGACGAAATCTGGTACCCTAAAAAAAAATGCCATATTATATTGAAATCTGTTGAGGTTTGAATATGGCTACCATATATATATATTTCACCAAACACGATATTTATATAAGCTGATTCCAATTATATTCAGAATGTGTGGTAGAATTTGTTTACAATAATAATTTCAAGTATTTGACGCATTTGATTAAATATGGAAAATGTGACGGAATTTATAGTAAACTAGCTGACCCCTACTTTTAGTTTTTAATGCATATTTTTTGTATATAATGAGTAATGAATCCATAGTAATTTCTAAATAGAAATAAATATTCATGGGAAAATTATAATATATGTTCGCCTACCGTTGGTGTCAGATATTTTGATAGCCTGATCTTATTTTTCAGCTATAAGCTTTGATTTGACTGTTAAAAACCTATATAATATAGAACATCTATAATATCGCCAGGTGAAAACCCAGCTCAATTTTTTGTATTATAAAGAGCTTAGAAACATTTTCCATTCAAATGTGCTGTAATTTGGACTTTGTATTTGGCGCTGTCTACCTCGTAATTGAGGGCAGAATGATTTTAGAATAGTCAAAGATAATTACTCTTTTACACCCGTAAGATGGGATCTATTTTTAAATTGTGTATTGGAGACCCCATAAAGTCCATATTTTTCATATTAGCATAATTCAATGATGATCAAACAAATGTTTGGTCACGTGCCACTTTCTTATATTCGTAATTTTTTCATGTTTCTGCCGCAATTTCCGACTGAATGAGTCTCAGTTTCACATTTTGGAGTTTATTTCATATGCACGTACATCCCAAACCTACATTTCCATCCAATTTTTTTGGTGTTATAAATTTAATAGAATACAAAATTTTCTATGCTGACCACACATTGGGTTGATAATGCCTAGGTGGACAATTATCTGTAAAATGGTTCTCTACCCCAAAGTAGCCTAAATACAATTTTTAGCCAAATCAATTGATGAATGTGGTCAAGACCAAAATGATAAAATTAAGAAGGTAAAGTCATTTCAATTAAGCATATCCATCTTTGTATTTTCTGTAATTTACCTTGTCAAATTTCACTTCCTACCTCACTACCTTCTTCATTCTACCATGGGCCCTACTCTGAAAATTTTAAATTGTATGCGAAGAAATGTTTTACCCCCTTAGAAAAAAGGATGCCAAATAAGGGTCAAAAAATGAAAAAAAGTGGCCAAGATCCCGAAAATAGCTTAACTCATATGATGGTTATACCAAAACCTAATAATATTTTGCAAGTATGGTTTCTTCTCAAATTACCAAATATTGCCGAAATTAGTATGAAGAATATATACTTGAAATTCGGTTGTACCCTTATCCGGGGGTTATGACCCATATCATGACCTGCAAAAGCGATTTAAGGTATCTTGAAAGTTTAGAAAGAAATCCATTTCTGACTAAATGTCCAATCCACTCTACTATTTTGCCTCTTTTATATTTCGTATTTCACTGATTGCAGTCCCAATGAATTTTGCATTTTGAGTTCTCATTGGACGGATTATTGTCATGTGAAAGAAGTAGGTCCATGTTTTGAAATGAGTCCTTTAACGCTTTGTCGGTTAATTATTCGTTATTATTTTATTATTGTTATTATTATTATTATTATTATTATTATTATTATTATTATTATTATTATTATTATTATTATTATTATTATTATTATTATTATTATTATTATTATTATTATTATTATTATTATTATTATTATTATTATTATTATTTTATTATTATTATTATTATTATTATTATTATTATTATTATTATTATTATTATTATTATTATTATTATTATTATTATTATTATTATTATTATTATTATTATTATTATTGTAATAATAATAATAATTATTATTATTATTATATTATTATTATTACTATTATTATTATTATTATTATTTCTTTTTTTGCAAGATACCATTCCGAAATTATATGAACTTTTACAGTCTGTCAAGCAGTTCTTGCGTTTTAAGTGTAGTAATTAACATTACATTCTTTTATATAGTGGAAATAATTCTTTATTTTGTATTACCTTCTGAATACTTAAATTTATAAATAGCATTTTTGTCCGTTGTCGCTTTATACTACCGTAAAAAGACTACACATCATATTAATTTTCAAAAACAAAAAAAACAATCGAAAAGAAAAAACACTACAAATGTCCATTTGAAAATAGTAAACTAAAACTTTACTATTGTTCATTTTGAAAGTCAAAATGAAAATGTTCAAATTTCACTTTTTTCCGCGATTTGTTTGGATTTTATCCTTTTCTGCCAAGAGGCAACACCGAATTCGTCTGAATTCAGATCGGCGGTTCCTGAGTTATAAGCGTAGTAACTAACACAACTTTATATATATATATATATATATATATATATATATATATATATATATATATATATATATATATATATATATATATATATATATATATATATATATATATATATATATATATTATACTATTACGATTTATCTAAAATCTTTATATTTGTCAAAATAGTGAAGATATCGGTTTGAGAATTATTACGCGAGATGCTGTTGGCTTTCCATCCAACCCTAAGTATTTATTTAAGGGCTAAGGAACGCGCCTACTTTTAAGTCTATTTCTCTATATGTAAAAGAAAGTTGTGTTAATTACTACGCTTATAACATAAAGACCGCCGGTCTGATTTTAACGATTTAGACAAATTCGGAATTGCCTCTTCACAGAAAAGAATAAAATCCAAAAAAATGGCGTAAAAATGTGAAATTTGAACATTTTTATTTTGACTTTTAAAATGTACAATAGTAATGTTTTATAGTGCATATTTTTTTCAATTTTGACTTACTATTTTCGAATGTACATTTGTAGTGTTTTTTTTTTTTTGAATTGTAATATGATGTGTAGGTTTTTCTGGGTAATATAAAGCCACAACGGATAAAACTGTTATTTATAGATTTTATGTATTTATTCGTAATACCCAATAAATGCATAAAATCTATAAATAACAATTTTATCCGTTGTCGCTTTCTATGAAAATTCTAAAATCGGGAAAAATCGACAATTTTTCAATGGAATCGAATTTCAAAATAATAGTACATTCTACCGACAAACTTCGCAATCACCCTTAAAAATTTGCGCAAAAAAATCAGCGAACCAGTTGAAGATTCTTTTTCTTTTTTCTATATTGAAGTGTACATTTTTTATTGGTTTGAATTCTGAATGAATAATATTAAAAATGAAGTGAGGGCGAGGTTAAATGCTGAGGTGAGGTTAAATGCTTTCTACTCCAGGACCTACATCGTGCTTCAGCTGGAAGATGCGAACACATTTAAACAAACAAAAATGACCGAAGAAGCGTTATGGGGTTAATTTCAAAAAGTGGACCTGCTTCTTTCATATGACAATAAATTGTCAAATGAGAACACAAAATGCAAAATACATTGGGACTGCAATCAGTCAAATACCGACTATAAAGAACGCAAAATAGAAATTCGACCTAAACATTCAAGATACCTTTAATCGCTTTTGCAGGTCATGATATGGATAATAACCCCTGATAACGGAACAACCCGATTTCAAGTATATTCTACAATTTAACCATATTTTTATACCCTACAACACTATGTGTTGGGGGTATTATAAGTTTGATTGGGCCAGAATTTATGTAACACCTCGAAATATTGGTTTCCCATATAGGAAAGTATATATAGATCTTCCTAGCTCGCCGAGCTAAGTCGATCTAGCTATGTATGTCCGTCCGTCCGTCTGTCCATGTTAATTTGTAATCACTCTACAGGTCGCAATTATGGCCCGATCTTAACGAAATTTTGCTCGAAGGTGGGGTAAGGGTCAGAATAGAAGCCTATTTCTTTTGGAGATGATCGCCATATGTTTAGGTGTTGAAATGGACCAAATACTGAAAAAATGTCGGATTTTGCAGTAGCTATACAGGTCGCAATTATAGACCAATCGACGCAGAATTTCGCATGTAGCTAGAGTTTTGGGTGGTCATCGGATAATATTTAGCGGGTAAAATAGACCATATCTTTTTTGTTGAAAAAAATTCAAAATTTTTCATTGTTGTTATTTTTTTTGGCCAATGATTATTTCTATGGTTTCTATGTGGTTTAGCTTCTTGAACTTAGGTTTCATATACAAATTAAAACAAAACTATTTTATTTTGTATTTTATTCCCGACGTTTCGTCGCTGTTTTGG